AAATCTGAAAAATCTAGAATACGAAGCAGAAGTTTAGGAAACCCCAAAAGAATAAGTGTTCTCGAAAAGAGCGATTTATATTGTAAAAGACAATCGAATTATGAGTGGATTAAACATTTTATCATATTAATTTGTTTTTTTGAATCAATTCTAATTATGATATATGACGTAAAGCAAATATATGATGAAGGAACACCAGCAGATGTAATTATAAATTTAGAGCTTTTAAGATGGATTTTCGATATTATTTATTTTCTTTTGGTTTCTTTCGTATCTTTTAGATTTTTCTTTCGTCAAAAAATTCCCAAAAGAGCTTCATTCTGCATCATATTAGTTTCAATTATGCAAGTCTTCTTTGAATATGCTTTATATTGCACACCTAAAGGTGCCGATTCAATTTTTTTCTTTATTTTAACCACTATTTTAACTCGTACTATTTCATCATTCTTTTCGAATGATAATTTTAAAGATATTAGAGTTAAAGATATTGAACACTATGGAATTAAAAATCTTGAAGAAGAAAAAAATTATAAATTTGTTTTTTTACGGATTCTTCAAGAAGACAAAATTTATGACTACTTGGGTCATCAAAGACTTTATATACAGGTTAATGATAATGATAACAAGATGCAAGAATATATTAAAAATATTCAAGAATTTTATCGAAAACAGGAGTACGAATATGTCAGAGAAGTCTATGAGCAATTGACTAAAAAACTTGGTGGAAGAAAAAAAAGATGCTATTACCAAAGATTTATCCAATGTATTAACAAAGTTATAAAAGGCAAGCAATTTGAGGATAATAAAGGCAAGAAAGTTGAGGATAATGACAATGAATGTTATCTGTGTAGAACCCAAAAAAGTCATACTAGAATTAACATTGACACAACAGAAAATCATTTTATACAAATTAAAACAATTGATGGAACCCAAATTACAGAAGACTATACTGACTACAAAAATAATTTTGAAGAAATTGTTTCTGAAAAATTTAAAGATCCAGTTGGTATAACACGCATATTTGGTAGATATTACGATATTGTTGATAATGAATATAAAATACCAGGAGCAAAAATTATGTCTAAACATCTTTCTGAAAGCAATGTAAAAGTTTATGCAAATGTTCTTGAACTGGGTTATTTTCAATATTTTGTTTATTCGCATAGAGCATATAAGGACAGCAAACAGAATAATAAACCATATGATAAAGCAGATATAGAGATTATTATTAGTGATAAACATAAGATTGTATTCACAAATTCTAATGTTAAATGGTATGTGATTCCGGGATTTGGAACAAGAAAAGACAATACTATAGAATATAAAGAATGTAAAAAATTACAAGACATACTCAATAATATTGAGACGCCACCATCAATAGATTGAGTATTAAAAATTAGATCAAATTGTTCTATTAAATTTAATTGTTACCATTTTACTTTGTGATCATTAAAATGTATTACTGTATAATATTTTCCAAATAAAAATTTGTTTCCGTTCAATAAATTTCTACAATAAACCAATGTCTTAGTTCCTAGATAATTCCAAATAGATAGCTATATAGAATGTTTTATTTTTAATGTTTTTACTGAAATTTTTCTATTATTTATATCGATACGCAGAAGTAATTGCAATTAAAATTTATTACATGTAACAACACACTTCAGGCGAAATTAAAAGGATAATTTAGGTTGGGCAATATAAATTTGCTCAACCTAAACTGTTGCCAGCATGCAAACATGAAATTTAAATACTCATCACGTTACACCAAATATTGCATTCTGATTGGCTGAACATGAGCATAACGATATAAAAATCGATGTTTCTGACTATATTGATAAATATTTTAGGAAAGGGTGAAACCTGCGCTGTAAATTAGTAAAATCAGCTACGTAAATCGCATTATGGGGAAATCTGCGCCTAGCTATGTTTTTATTATACAAAAGCGGATTTCACCCTTATGCAAGTTTGGCAATGGAACTCAATGGAGCCCAATGAAGCTGCGAATAGAGCCAAGGGAGCTCTGAATGGAGCTGATAGATACTAGTTTTCTGAGCTTCATTGGTCCTATTGCAAACCTTGCTCTCATGTAATTTGTTTAGCGGATTTTACTATGTGGGTTCATCCTGTAGTAATATTTTTGTCAAATCAAATTGATATTTTTCTGGGTTACTGAACCCAGTAATAATCACGTTACGTGAGATCATAATGATTAACCATATAAACTGCAGAAAAACCATATTAGCTTCCGACAATCTCTACTGTTAAATTTGCTATAAATATCCTTTAACCTATACCTGCCGCCCAATTCCAAACTATTATAATTTGGGTTTGTCAGCCCACAAATTCCAAACTCAAACCCAAACTAATATTTCAAAGATTTTATTAATAATCATTATTTAAACAAATAATATATATTCTTATAGCTATATATAAAGATGTGTAAATGCATATTTTTTGGCTTTGCATTGTATAATGTAACATAATGCAGCATATGACATTCTGCATTCATGGTGTTTTACTAATATCCAACATATTTGATCTTTTGCATTCTTAGACAGAAGATATATCTTATCTTTTACATCCTTAAACAGAAGTTTACTATTTCATAATATTTTCAAATCTTAATAATTAATCTCTTTATACAGTTGAAAAATCACTAACTAATATTATTGTGATAGGTTTTATGGTTAAGTTCAGAGATGAGGCAAATGCAACAGATTGTCACTAAAAAAAAGATTATGTCATATAATATTCCTTAAGGATACAAAAGGTGGTTTTTCAATTTGGCACAAGGTTAAGGTAATCAATAAGAAGCATTATAAAATAACTATTATGAATTTAAAAGAATATTGATTTATTTTACAAATTAAAAAGGTTTTATTAATTTTATTAATATTTTATAAAGGCAGTACAATTATATTATTATTCAGGACAGTTCTTAATTCTACTGGACTCTGAACTTAACTGAGCTTTTAGAAGGGAAAAATTTCATTCTTTTTATAATAAATTGAACATAAAAAGAGTCTGCTCAAAACTATGATTTTCCTTATTATTTTTAACACTTTCTAACCTTATTTGTTATAGTCTTTAATCCCTTTTATACAGCCTTTTATTACTTTAATATTTCTTATGATTTTCATAGAACATATAAAAAATGTTTCAGTTTTATTATTTTGAGGCCAAAACCTATTATATTGTCTTCAATTACATCTTTCTTGACATCACTTTATATATAATTTAAGTAAGAAAGGTGAAGTTAATGTTCATTCCTAGCATAACAGGTTAGTTTAGTTTGACCTTACTTTAATTGATGAGAGTGGTAAGTTCTATATAGTGGCTTGTGAACTTTTATATAGTTTTTTTGATATCAGGTGCATATGTTTCAGATGAATCATTATGGGTATTTTTAATTAAATAAATATGTTACAATACTGTCCATTTTACAGATTCTATAAAGTATTAGTTTTATCTCTAAAACTACATATTAGCATAGTGAGCATTTATTGTAATTAGTTAATTTTCTTGTAGATTATTTTGTATTCTTCATAAATTCTATTAGTTTAGAGAATTAAAGATTCATATAACATCTTATAAAATAATTAAAGAATTTATATATAACTAATAAGTTTTTTTATATGTTCTAGTATAGTATATAAAAAAAAATAGGTCAATATATAACAAAATGTCTATACAATATCAAAATTATGAAACCAGCTTTAGTGCCAGTTCTAATGCAAAAAAATGCAAAAAGTTTATCATTGTAATTTAAAGGATTATAATAGCATTATTTATGATAACAAATTGTATAATACTTCAATTATATTTAACTGAATAGTTATACTAACATTAAGCCAACATCTAGATTTAGTTGATAAGGCTTTGTGCAGAAAATACTATAATAAATATATAATAAATACAAAAAAAAACCAAACTAATTAATATATGTACTTATTTTAAATATGAAATTTATTTAGCTACAGCTTAAAAAGAAGAAATGAAATTTTGAAAAATTCTAAAATGCTTAATGAGATTTTTTAATTTAATAAAAAAAGCAATAATGTGTGATCATTGCTTATATAAGACAGATATCAATTCAGAATATATTAATTTGCTTGATTTTCTTCTAGCAAATAAAAAAAATTTTGAAAAAAATATAAAATAATTTCAAAATAGATTATATGTTTTACATGGTAATGTTATTTATTCAAAGTCAAAATTTTAGAAATTGAAGTTTGCATATCATAAAATATGTATAGAGTTTAATAAAACAAAATTAGGTAAATAGATAACTTTTATTTATTAATATATTTTTAATTATTTTTTTATATGTTTATTTATTTATTTTTCTAGAGCTAATTTTTTTAAGTAAAAAGATTAAGCTAATGGTAAAAATATTATACACAAGACAGCATATATATAATAAAAGACCTATTTTTGATTCTGATAAGTTCAAGAAAATGGTCAAAAATACTAAACCATCATTGAAAGGTTTTTTTAATCAATTGGTAACTGAAACAGATTTGCAAACTAAAAAGCACAATGACTAATAAATAAAATAAAATAAGACTTGTTTTATTTTATTATTTTCTTGCAGATCTTAATAACAAATTTATCAATAGTGTTAAGGAGAGGCATAAAAAAATTCTGTACCAGATTGGTGGCATAACAAAATTTTATAAAGTTCATTAATGTTAGAGTTAGCATTTAGAATAAAGTTAAAGTCTAGATGATTATATAATAAAATTGCTCAAGAAAAACTTTTTGTTAGAGTACTAAAAGTAATTTTTTATTCAGTTTTTGAGAAATAAGAAATCTTTAACAAAAATGAATATTGTTTTGATTGTATTATATTATACTTGATCCTTGAAATATGATTTGTAAATTGACAATCTGCATCATAATGATCAACAAAACCTGGCACAGAATTTTTTTATGCTAAGGAAAGGTAGGACTTTTATTAGATGCATCTGATGCATCTTTATTGGCAATTGAGACTTTGGCTATTGCAGACCTAATAGTATGATGTAAAACTATTACCAAATAAAAAGCTCAACATGTACAAACATATATGAAGATAGTAAGAATTTTTTTAACTGAAAATATAAATATATTAATTTTTTATTTTTTATTTATTATTATTTTTTTTTTGTAATTAATTGTATATTATTTTTTATAGATTAAAAATTTGGTTATTTTAAACATGATAACTTTCATAATATCTATAAATCCTATTGTAGTGATTTGACTATTATATTTGATATTATTCATTTTATTATAATACTTCTAAAGACATTGTCAGAAATATATTTAATTTTATTTAATAATTACAATCAAGAAAATAGTATCTAGAATAAAAAGAATATTGAATCAAACATTATTATTAAGAATGCAGATTTACTTGTTTTTTTAAATTTATGGCTTAGTTATACAGAGCAAAAGACATTTTCTAATTTATTTGTAGAATAAACTCATAATAAATAGATTAAATATCTTCTAATTCATAGTTATAATGATAAAATTAAACAATGTCAGATAGATCAAAGCATAGAAAATATAAAACTTGTTGATTTAAAGAAGAAATTTCTTTATCAACTAAAAAATATATAAATATATTTAAGTTTTTAATAAGTGTTCCTAAAGCAAAGAATTATATTAAAGCACAAGTTTTTATAACACCTATGAACTACTTTGAATAACTTTATGTGTGATATATTATCACTTATTATTGTAATAAAATTTACTAAAAACTATCAAGCTGTAGCAAATTTTAAATTAATGAGTGTTGAGTGAAAGATCTTTTTATTTATAGGAAAATAAAATAAAAGAAAAGAAGAAATATAAAAATAAATATAATAATAACTAATTAAAAATAACTAAAAATAAGAAATAAATATTTAAAAATAGAATTTAAATTTAATAGCCTTCTAGATACTATAAGAAGCTTTATGATAGGCCAGTTGTAGAGAAGATTTGACCTATTGTTCTTTTTGTATTGGCTAGGCTTAACAAATAGTTTATCTTTTATAAGGATTACTTGTGCTAGACTTAGAAGTATTCTAAGATACTAGAAGAGATAATTAGCAACAGATAATCAGGCTGTTTTAAGCTATATATG